TAAGTGCCCGGTAGGCAAATGGTTAAAGAAACGCAGCGGTGTATCACAATAAATGGCCTGGTCATGAAGAGGGTAAATTTTCCGGAGGGTAGGTGGTTCATTACTGGATTCATTGGATTTTTTTTTTCTCAATCCAGAGTAATTCTCCCTAATGGAGGTACAGACAGGTTTTTATTGACAGGGAGGAGTTCTAATCCTTCCTTACTGCATTACAAACCAAAAACAAATCATTTTGGATACATTTTAAGGGGATGATGCTACAGGGCCATGTGGTAAGCTGACCATCTGCTTATTTAAGAACTTTGTATTGATATCGGTAACATTGGCTTTTCTTTAGCCACATACAGTTAGCTTTACTTTGTGGCTCAAATGCATTAAATACCTACATTGCTGATGGGGTGTGAAGAGGCAGCTGGTGTTTTACATTATATAAGACAAGTTATCAAAAATAATTACTGCAGGGTGTATTGTACAGCTTTGTGTATGAGCATGTGTGGTTTTGGTTGGGTTAAGTTATGTCCAGTAGCCCCACTTTGAACCTACAACAGCAGGCCTGTTTGTGTTTGGCTTTATGATGATGGTACTACAGACTGGCTTTGTTCAGGTATGTACATACACAAATGTCAACAAGTTTTCTGTTTAATTCTAACATTTAATTTGTATAGGCGTCGACCAGAAGAATATGATATTCATAACAACCGAAAGAAACCAAGAATTGACTATCCACCAGAGTTTCACCAGAGACCAGGTTAATATGTTTTTGCTAATAAAACCTTTTTGTTTTGCTGTTCTATAAGGGATTCTATAATAAAGGTTAGTGCTATAAAGTTCATATGATTACACACTTCAATTGGGCTGATAGGGATAGTGCAGAAAATAAAAGTACAGATATTCCTGTAATCCGCATCCAACTCAACACTGTAGTTCCACAAGGTAAGGCCTAATCTTTTATGCAAAGATGGCAGTAGAACAAATGGTGGACAAGAATTGGTTACTGATATACATGTTTTCCATGTGGCAGTGTGTCCAGTTTCTGTTTTAATATGTTCTTTTGTGTTAATTGAATCATCAATGAAAATTCCATTTCCAGGAATCAGGCCTGATGCTGGTGTAAAATTAGAATCAATTTTAATGGTTTACCAAAATGGTTACATTCAAGGCACTGTCATAAAAGACTGCTACAGTTTCTTGTGCTCTCAAGTGAACTGTCAAGCCATCAGATGGCTGGTGTCGTAACTGATCACATGCAGCTGCAGATCAGACTAAGATAATGCTTATGTAGGCTAGGAGGGTTTTGTTCCATTTTCATTTATTTTTATACAAATGTGTGTGTGTGTGTGTGTATAGAGATTATATATAGATTAAATAAGATTATGTAAAATATATAATCTATTTTACAAAAAAAACTTTTTTTTATTTTAACACTGAGTGCACAGCCGGTGCATAAAACTGCTCATCTGCCTGTGTTCCCCCTGGTTGCCCATGTGACACAGGCCTAATATCTATGGTCCGCTTGGTAGCTTAGGCGTAACTGCTTCAGGAGCTCTTTATTAAGACAATAGGATCAAAGATGGCCGTTGACTAAAGGAACCAATTTAAAACCAAATCGATTTGATTAACTACAGTTTATTTTTTTCATTTTCCCTTTAGTCACTGTTAAATTGTCAAATAGAGATAAGCATTGTGCAACAATAAGGCAAAAACAATCTTGTGTAACGGCACAAGTTCCCCCCCCCGAGTCTCATTTTTGGTAGGTTTTAATTTACAATGCATTTATGTAAACGCATGTTTGTTGCTGAGATTGAAGGAATTTTCAAGAATTGTCCTACTTTTGTGATCTGCATCAGCTCAAAGTAAACTAATTTTAATACTTTTAGCTATTTTTTCTGCAGTTTACCTTTAGTTAGACAATTAAGTCCTGATAAATCACTTCAGCCTGGCCCCTTTTTGAAGGTATAGCTACTGTATGAAAAACATTAAAAATAAGTGCCTATACTGTTTAAATTCCAGTAATGCATTATGGTCTGCATAGCCTTGGTTGTCCTGTATTCTTAGCACTGTGCCTAAAATCAATGAGTCACTGGAAGCCGACCAGCTGGTATCTTCAAGCTTTACTACTGCTGTTAATATAAAGGAAGCAACAGGAATAACTCAAGACTGCGTGGGAACACAGATTAGGAAAGGAGAGAAGAAAATCTGGAGAGGTGACCCTACAAATTCTGCTGCCAGGGAGACACAAGAGTTAAACTTATAAGAATATACTGTCTCATACTGTCTCATCTCCCTGATATTCTCTCATTTTCCTTGGTATCCGCATCTGTGAACCTAGGCACTGTCAGCCTTCTCCTCTAGCTGAGCCAAGACCAAATCAAAGCTGGAAATGTGCGCATTTTAACCACTTGCCAACCGCGCTAAAGCCGAATGATGGCTAAAGCTCGGTTGTCCAGTTCTGGGACGGCATCATATGATGCCGATCTCCATGATCACTGTGTCCCACGTGATGTGGCAAAAAGGCCAGTGATACAGTAGATCACCTTGTAAATGCAGTTGTCAGTTATTGGCTGCACTTTCCTCACGTTGTCATAGCGTGAGGAAAGTACTGCAGATAACAAGCAATTGTCATGGGACAGTTCTGCACTGATCATCAGGACACTGATCTGTGCCCAGATGATCAGTGCCTAGCAGTGCCGCCCATCATTGATCATTATTGTTGCATATCAGTGCAGCATCATTGTTACATATCTGTGCTGCCTATCCATGCCACCTTATCAGTTCTGCCTCATTAACTTCACATCAGTGAAGGAGGAAAATTACCTGTTTGCAAAATTTTATAATGGAAACAAACTTTTTTTTTTTTTAAATGTTTTGTTTATAGCGCAAAAAAAAAAAAAAACCCCCAGCGGCAAGTAAATACCACCAAAAGAAAGCTATATTTGTGTGAAAAAAAGATACAAATTTCATATGGGTACAGTGTTGCATGACTGCGCAATTGTCTTTCAAAGTGCAAGAGTGCTGAAAGTGGAAAATTGGCCTAGGTAGTAAGGGGGTATAAGTACCCAGTAACCAAGTGGTTAATTGCAGAAAATTAGTTTTTTTTTCTCAATAAGGAAGTGCTCTGGACTTCAACAAAGTGGCTGCCTCCAGCAATAAGAAATGGCAGCAATGCTAGAGGCATATACATATAAAATGCAGCGCTGTAAAATGATCAAATCAGCACAATAATAGTCCTGAAAAGGTGCTCATTAATTCCCAGTGTCAATGGAAAGAATGCAAACTAACCAGAAGCGCATTTAAAGTACGCATGTGTGTAAGAAATCCTGGAGATTCCCCTCTCTCCCTCTGGTCAGAAAATGGATATGTGCTGAAATGGATAACGCTCACTTTCACTTGCCACCTGATTACATGTTTTTTTTACTTGGGTTTTTTGAAATAAATTGAAGTAATATACTACACTATGAGTATCTCTCTGTGTCCTCTGTGAGGGGTCTCTCTCCCAATTTCACAGCCACAGAGTTATTTCAATCCCAGCCCTGGTTCCATTGAAGGGTAATATCCTATCCTGGGAGCTTCCTGGCCTGCAGGATTTTGCTTTTCCACAAGAGGGCGTTATCATCCATTTCAGCACATATCCATTTTCTGACCAGAGAGAGAAAGGGGAATCTCCAGGATTTCTTACACACATGTGTACTTTAAATGCGCTTCTGGTTAGTTTGCATTCTTTCCATTTACACTGGGAATTAATGAGCACCTTTTCAGGACTATTATTGTGTTGATTTGCATGATTTGATCATTTTACAGCGCTGCATTTTATATGTATATGTTTTATTGAGGATTTTTATATGCGTTTATCCTGGAAGTTCAGCTGCTGTTTCTTTGAGAGCGCTCACTGTGTGTCTTTTACCTATAATGCTAGAGGCAATTTACAGCACACATATTATTTTGGTAGCATAATTATTAATGTGGAAAGTACCTTGCTAAATAACATTTTGTTGTATATCTAGTTTTTATCGGTAAAGTTCAGAAATTCAGGGTCAGCTACTAGCTCATCTGACCTTGCCCTGAAGCACCATACTGTGCCTCAATCTACACTGTACAGATTGAACTGTACCTCAAGGAAAAAAACAATTTAGATGGAGCAGAAAAGCATTAGGCCCTCTGTCAAATATGTATTGTGGTCTATGTCCCCATTGTGAAGATGCACCCACTTTTTTACTCTGCTGGCCATTTTTGCAATAAAAATAAATGGAGTATATAAAAATTGAGTTGTCCCCAGAATAAGGGGGGAAATCTTCTATTGGGGATTCCTGTTCTGGAGACAACGGTTTCTAAAAAGAATTTTCACATTTTCTTTGTTTCCTTTTTGTAGATCTAATGCAGAGTATTAGGTGTAATGCATTTTGCATTGGTTGCATGAGGCAGCATCTGATTTGCCTCATGCAACTGTTAGGATTCCTCTACATGCAATTTAAATATTAAAGCAGCATTAGGCTCCATGTACACTGGAAAGTTTTTCTTTCTACTGGCAGAAGAAAAACTAAACGTGGCAAAAATATTCGGTACAAGTTGACGCATTTAGCGCTTGGACATTTATTAATTTCAGTGGCTAGAGTACTTGCCTTTGAAATAAATGCCCAAGCTCTAAACATGGTTAGCGCATAGGTGCGTTTATGCACTTTTTTTGGCCAAACGTTCCTCTCCTGTACGCAATTTCTTTGTGTTCAGGAGAGGGACGTTTAACTGACCCTAAATTTTGATAAAAGCCTATGTGTGCATGGACACACAGGCTTTTTTTGAGTTGAGTTCAGGGGCTTTGGTAAAAAAAAAAAAAAAAGTCCAGAAGTTCCTAAACTCACGTTTTTAGTAGCAGCCTAACCCAAATGGAAACATACATTATTTTGCAGCTTACCAATTCTTAGATGTCATGGCTGCATTAGTTTTATAATTTAGGCTTTCTTCTATTTTTCACCTGTGATCTGGCCAGTAGGTCTGTTTTTCAAAAGAACAAGCGCTCTTCCAAATGTATGAGTTACAGGAATGAGAGACACAATTTAACACTGACAGATGCTTACAATGATCATCTTTTCTTTTTGCTAAACCTTTACCCCAAAAGGAAAAATTGCTGTAACTTTCCTGTAAAGTGTGAGCTGGCATTTGGCTTCAGCTTGGTAGATGTTCTAGCAGATTTAAATACATGAACACTGTAGCACCTTCACGCCCACCCCCGATGACCATGCTGCTGTCCAAAGTGCACGTGTGCGCCTCCATCCAGAGTACGGGTGCTCTTAATACAGGTGGTATCTTACTAGCCAGATCACCGGGTGAAAACGGGAGAAAGCCTAGAAAAAGAAAACTAATGCAGACACCACATCTAATGATTAGTAGGCTGCAGTATATTACATACATTTTTGGTTTTGTGTTTAATACCACTTTAAGAGCAGTTGTGTGCACAGGCACAAAAATTCCAAATACATATGCTACTTTGCATTGCTACTTCTACACATTCTTGAATACCTCTTACAGTGCAGAATCAGGACAAAGATGAGAGGCAAAGACTTGATGTTAAAATGACAAGGATGAAATAATCACATGTGCCATCACTGTTAACGTTATGTCTTTTTGTTTAAACAGGATTTGTTAAGGATCCTCGTTTCCCCGAAGTAGACAGGTAGGCACTGTTTTTGTTTGTTTTTTTTTTTTTTTTCATTTTAAGTCTAATTAATTTTGAAAAATCTGGTCTATTTATTTTTTTTTTTTTTTTTTTGTCTTCACAGAAGATTTACAGGAGTTCGCAGGGATGTATTTTTAAACGGAGTAAGTTCAGTTAAATTGTGTGCCTTGTTAATCGCTTTTTTTTTTTTTTTTTTTGAGTCCTACCTAATTGTCTTTGAATACTCCATGTCTATATATAAATGTGATGGTATAGAAAAAACGTTCAAAGGTTAATGGCAAACTTGTCAAAGCAGTATTATCTCTGCATGCATTCAGGAATTACGATAATCTTTAGTAGTGTGTAACTAGCTGAATAGCTGCTGTAGACATCAGATACCCTTACAGTAAGGCACAGTTGATGCAGACAGTGTTTAGACCTCGGCATAGAAAGCAAGTTTAGAAGTCTTGCTATGCAGTCTTTCATCCAAAACATACGGTCATTCAACACATCTGTTGGCTCTCTGATGACTGAAGTGGTATGGTAGAGGCATATCATACTTCTAGGAAGCTCAAGGCAGTGGGTGGCAACTCAAGAGTTTTTCAGCCAGTGTAATTTTTTTCAGGGGGATTTACCAATTATTTCAAAGTGCTCTTACAGTGTTTATTTGACAGTTGATTCCAAGAGCCGATTATCCAGTGGTTGGCAGTATTTTTTAGGTCCCTTTAGCCACTCTAGAATGTGGTTCCTTTTAGTAAATGCTAAATGTTTTTCTCACATTAAGGGGCATAGGATGAAGTATTCGGTACACTGGCTTATGTTGCCTACAGGAGATTATCAGCAAATCAAAGCTGTAAAGACAGGCCTGTATAACCCCTCCCAATCCAGCCTGCTTTATTTTTTTGCTAATGTCTAAAATTGAAGAGTCTTCACCATCTGAGAGGGGAAAAAACCTTTTCCCAAATGTTAACAAGATTCTTTTATCTGGCAAGTTTCTCCACAAAAGCCATCCTGGGGCTGCTGAAGAGCAGCAGTGCCAGCCTGTAATGTGTTGTTAGGAACTGGACTATGCTGAAGGTGCTCACCTAGGTACTAGTGTACAATGTGTGAGGCTGATGCAGAGTGTTTTACTGGTTCAGGGTGTGGTACACCTATCTGGTGGAATCCTGTCCCTTAAGACCTTTTTAGGATGTTATGCTAGCCAGTGGAACAAAGACTAACTGAGTGGAGTGGCTATTGCCTCTGAATTCCCATGTGTGCCTGTTGGGAACTGCAGGACCTTTTAAGGACCTTGGCTGTGGTGAGTAGGACTTTTGCCTTCATGTACAGGAAGCCTGCTGGTGCTTTCTTCTTGTTCCCCCTAAAGGGTTAAATTATTGGACTTGAGCTGCAGTGCTCTTTGTGACGGAACGCAGCGCCTGACCTCTACCCTTCTCACCAGCTCATGACTGAAGGACCAGCCGATCTCGCACTGCGCTGTCACATGCGTAACAATGCCACTCTCAGCTGCGCCCTGTACAAAGATTTTCCAGCTCGCAGGACTACAATCTATGGGCCAGCAGCCTGAGAGCGATTGTTACTGGGTCAGGTTAATTACGCAATTAACCCTTTACACTGCTGCTACCACCTTTTTACAGAGGAAACTCACAAATCCTAGCAGTAACACTATATTAGCATAAGCGTATGTAATACACACTGTCACCACAGACAAGTATGTTCAGAGGATTATTACACACAGTAGCACTCTTCAAGAGACAGGGATTCTTTAGATCAGTGTTTCTCAACCTTTTTTGTGCAAAGGCACACTTTTTTTCATGAAAAAAATCACGAGGCACACCACCATTAGAAAATGTTAAAAAAATTTATTGAAACTTTTTGACTTGAGGGCCGCAATGGGTTCATATATTGGACCCGGGGGCTGGGATAGATGAATGATGGTATGTGTATCCATAGTAAGTATAGTACCGTATTTTCCGGCGTATAAGACGACTGGGCGTATAAGACGACCCCCCTACTTTTCCTGTTAAAATATAGGGTTTGGGCTATACTCGCCGTATAAGACTACCCCCCTCTTCCAACCAATCACGGCAAGCAATGTACCAGTATTTTCTGTGCACACTGCATACAAAGCCTGCTTGGATTGGGTGGGTCAGCTCTCCCTGCCTGCCCAGCCCTGCCTGTCTCCAAGATACCATAAATTGCACAGAACTGCCACAGACATTATAATATTAATAATTAATTACCGTATCTCATAGAAGTTAAGGGGACAAGGTCGGATGCAGCAGTACCATACCGGTACTTCCGAGCTGACACTTCTGCACGTCTTCGGCAGCAGTAGACGATCACTGATCGCCATTCCTCGCAGAACTGCATGAGACGTCGGATGCAGCCGTTCAGTGCTCGATTGATCGTGACTGAAACTGTGACATGCGCAGAATCACTGTGTATCCCTTCTCTGCATATCACAGTTTCAGTCAAGCTCAATTGAGCACTGCTGCATCCGACGTCTCATGCAGTTCTGCGAGCTATGGTGATCCGCGATCGTCTACTGCTGCCGAAGACATGCGCAGTAGCGTCAACACGGAAGTACGGTAAGGTTTCAGCACAGCACCCGGCGTATAAGACGACCCCCGACTTTGTAGACGATTTCCAGGGGTTAAAATGTCGTCTTATACGCCGGAAAATACGGTAATATTCCCCCATAGTAAGCATAGTAATTCATCCCCCATATAGTAATTCATCCCCCATATAGTAATTCATCCCCCATATAGTAATTCATCCCCCATATTAAGTCCCCAAGCCCCCCCTGTGTCAACTCACTTACCTTTGCTCCGCGCGTTCCTCTCGCCGTTCCGGTGTAGCGTGAAAATCTGTCTCCTATGAGGATCTGTCCCCCTCGACGTATCTGCGCATGTGCCAGTTTCAGGCATTAGCAGCCGATCGGCGATCTCCGGCACATGCGCAGATACGTCGAGGGGGACAGATCATCCTGACAGTATCACGCTCCGCGGGCCGGATTAAAAGGTCCTCCGGGCCGTAGTTTGCCCATTGCTGTTCTAATGATTGGTCTATTTGTGAGCCGAGGCCACATGTTACGGATGAAATTGCAATTTTTCCCACGGCACACCAGACAATATCTCACGGCACACTAGTGTGCCGCGGCACAGTGGTTGAAAAACGCTGCTTTAGATTGCATTAAAAGCTTTAGAGTCAGTTTCAACACTTTTCAAAATAGGAATTTATTACTAAAAAGGTCCAAATGATGCAGTTAAAATATTTACAGAAAAAGATGTTACAAAGATCTAAAGAGCAATAAAACAGAAATAAAAGAAAGGAGTTCTGAAGGCAGAATACTTGCAATGTCCTTGGTTTAAGCAGAGTCCAATTGTCCAAACGTAAAGATTGCCTTGGCTCTCGAGTCCGTTAGATGTTTCCTGATTGATGTTAAACGAGAGCTCCCTTCACCAGACCTATCAGTCTTTTTCTATGATATTAAAGGGGTGTCACCTGAGAACAAATGACCAATCATCCAGTTCGGGGATGGGTGCTAAGCGGTAACCAAGGTTATGACCAAGTCCCCACTGCAGTTTTATACTAATAATCATTTCCAGTATGTACAGGTGGTATTCTAGCAACTGGCAGATTAATCAGAATTATATTTGAAACCCAGGGATACCAAACACAGCATACCCTTGTCACCCAGGAGGGAAGAGACAGCGTCTCTCTCCTAGGTGCTAATATAGTCATGTAAGGTCTTGTTTGACTCACATTAAAATGATCTATCCAAATATATACCTAATATTAATGTGCCCAGTTCCTGCTTAACTTTATGAATTGTTACGTGTGGAATGGACTTTTTATGGCATGCTCTGTATTCCGAGAGCCCTAATGGCATAACAGGTCATGACTGACTGAGTTGTTTTACGGTCGGGCAGATGACAGTGGTTTTCAAAGCAGACCTCCTGCACCAGACTATTTAGCAGTTTACAGCCCTGGAGCTTTATCTATCTGTTTTGTTTAAGATAAAAGGCCCTTTGGAAGTCCGTTCAACTTGAAGCTTTACATTCCATTTCAAGAGGGAGAGACTAAATGACTCAGGCCTAACAAGATTGCTGTCACATACAGCATCCATGTCTCTATTGCGCACAATCGTCCTACTTTTAGGTGTGTAGCATGAAGGGAAAGCTGCACCAGATATAAATTTAGTTTCTTGAACCGTACTGACTACAAATGTTCATTGCTCCTGCATTAATCCCCATCCTGATGGTCTTTCTGTGCATGCCAATGGACCTATGCAATGGATCTTACCAGTATTCCCATGGACCTTGCTTCCTTTCCACCATCTCCTCTTTGCATCGGCTCCATTGTCCTCTGCACATTACCTGGTCTCCCTAGCTGTGTGGAGAGGAGCAAAGGGGAATATTATAGATTGTCTCTTGAGCGACTACTCAAAAGTCTTCTGAGGTTGCTGAGATCACATCCAAGATGCCATAAATACATGTGTAATGTAGGAAGGGTTTATGTTTGAACGGGTCCTGTCACCAGACCATTTTAACAAAAAAAAAAAAAAAAATAGCCCCTTCAGACACTGTTTTGATACAGATAATTGCTAGGGTTAGTCTAGAAAATATTTGGTTGAGGGCCCCCAGAGACATTAGAGGCATGCATTATGCTAGGAAAAAATAAAACCATTTTGAATCTCAAATAGATCTTTCATACTTTGACTCTTCTCTGTAGTCGAATTCTTTCACACATAGCATGTTTCTTCTGTTCTTCTGCAACAAAGAGCTGCATGCTCTTTGTCAAATTTAGTTCCACATGGCCTGCAGTGATTTTGTAGAAATGTTAGCGAGTGTTTGCCTTTAACAAGAATTACAGGGTGTCAACTGGATTATTGAAAAATCTGGAGACCAGTGAAAGAAAAAACTTCTCTTTGCCATGTATGATGCTGATTGGTACTCCTGAATGTTAAAGCCCAACACTGAGAACATGGAAAAAAACCCTTACTGTGGAACCCTTCTCTCACTGCAAAGGTTAAATTGACACTAAACTATATTCTTATTTTCCCAAAATAATTTTTGTGCATCCACTACGTAATGGACCTGTAATCTATTTTTCATTAAATGTTTTTTTTTTTGCCTGCTTGCAAGATCATCAGTGAGCTCCCATACCTCTACTTTTCCTGCTTACATTTGTTTGTGTGGAATGAGCAGCACACAGTTGTGGTTATGTACATTGCTCAATGCACACTTTAAATCTCATAGTCCATGTTGGCAGTGAGAGTCTCACTATGGTCCTATATACAGTGAGACCATAGAGAACAAACCTAGCCACTCTCTAAAAAGTCTGATCTCTGCAGGAAAAAAGGAATTTGAATTTTTTTTTTTTAGGGTAAGAATACTTTAAACTTTTTTTTTTTTTTTTTTTTTTTTTTAAATCTAGAGTCACTTTAAATTCTTGGTTAGCTTTAGGCGGTGGAGGGAGAAGCTGTATCCTGACACTCTGGGTTTGGGTGATCCCTCATCCTGTACAATTCAGGACCATTTAGTCCTGCATTGCATGTGAGGGGATAATCGTGAGACAGCACCTGTGAGTGCCTTAGAGAGAAGGCTGTGGTGGACCTGGTGCACAGATAAAGGGAGCCTGCTAGAGTAAGGAATAAGATTTGTATTGCCTCTTATTCCTCCACCCATAGTCATAAATGAGCATTTAAGCCTTGCAGTGTGGAGGGTTTGTTCCCCCCTTATGTCTGCAGTTGGGCTTTAAATATTGTCAAAAGGATTATTCATTTTTATTTTTTGGGTGAAAGGCTTCATACGTTTAGTAGTGCGATTTTAATGTCTCTTGCTATGTGTTCACATTTTACAGTCCTACAACGATTATGTGAGAGAATTTCATAACATGGGACCACCTGCTCCATGGCAAGGAATGGTATGTACAGTTACTTGATATTTGAATAGTAAACACTTTTAACCGCTTTCCCGCCACCTGATAGCAGAAATACTGCTGCAGGGCTGTGCAAAATCACGTGTATATATAGGTGTTTTTGCATTTCCAGCTAGGGGGGCGCACGCACCGCCCTACCTTTGCTGCCATTGGTGGCTACAGCTGTTGATCACCGGTCCTAGCCAGAGATTCCCTGCTGGCAATCGTCAAGATAAAGTGACAGGGGAGAGAGCTGTGTGTAAACACAGGTCTCTCTCTCAGGCCAGCAGTAACATGCTGCTGTGTATTTCTCTGCCTAGAAGCCTGTTTCCCTAGTAAAGCACACACAGTTAACCATTTGGTCGCCCCAGATGTTAACCCCTTTCTGCCCGGTGTCATTAGTAAAGTATCAGTGCTTTTTATTTGCCACTGACACTAATGGTGATCAGTGCTGTTAGTTCCCCCCAGTGTCAGAATGCCCGCCGCAGTCCCGATATGTCGCTGATCGCAGTCATTACTAGCATAAAAAATAAATAAAATTCCAGTATGTATACTGCCATTTTGTAGACGCTATAACTTTAACGTAAACCAATTATATTGTATATATTGTGGGGTTTTTTTGGGGTTTTTTTTTTTTTTTAGCAAAGACTTGTAGCAGAATACATTTTGGCCTGAATTTGACATTTTAAAATGTTTACTGGATATGTTATAGCAAAAATTGTCTTTTGTTCATAGCGCAAAAAAAAAAAAAACGTACAGGTGATCAAAAAGGACTGAAAGAAAGCTCTATTGGTGGGGTGGGGGGGGGGGGGGGGGGGGGAAACATAAATTTCATTTATGTACAGCGTTGCATGATCACACAATTGTCATAGTAACGCAGCACCGTATCGCAAAAAATGGCCTGGCCAGGAATGGGGGTAAATCCTCAGGAGGGCAAGTGGTCAATAGGGACACTTGCCAGAATCGCAAGCACTGCAGAGCAACTGTAGATCAATATGCCTAAAAATAAATTGTTTAAAGTTGATTTGGAAATAGATTTTATTCAGTTACACTTTATGCTGTATAGATACGTAAAATGAGAGGTTTACAAGGTGCCTAATCTAGTTGGGTAGGTAAAGTGTGTTATTACCCTTGTATTTAATGCTTCTATGGGAGTGCTGTGCATGGAATCGGGTTGACATCTTCTTATGTTCATGCCATATATATATATATATATATATATATATATATATATATTGATATTTGCTTGTAATGTTTCTACAAACATCACTTTTAGCTCAGAAGCTACAAAGATGCTTGAGGTTAGTGCTTTAGAAACACTTGTTTCATTTATAAAGTAACTGATAGATTCATTTTTTATTTTTGTTCAGTCAGCAAGTTGACTGAAAAAAGGCTGGACTTTATGTGGGTAGGGGAATCCTCCCCACTGAGTTATTGTATTCTGACAGTGGGGAGACTTTACCTATATAAGAATACACTAATCAGCTATAGCCTACTTCACTGATTGAGCAGGGAAAATCCGGCAGGCTTGTTGTACAGAAGTCGATTGGTAGATCATTGCTGAACTGGCCATTCAGTCCATTCATGGCTGGTTTAACTCTGGAGATGTATGTTGCCAGCAGTGTGTTGTTTTTTTCTTTTTTTGTTTTTTTCTGTATGTCCTGTACCCAGTGTATTAATCAGCTTTTCGTTGCTTTTTTTTTTTTTTTTACTTGACTGTTTTTTTCTTTTCTTCCTCCTCAGCCTCCATACCCTGCAATGGAACAGCCTCCTCACCACCCATATTATCAGCACCATGCTCCTCCTCCTCAGGCTCATCCACAGTTTTCAGGTCACCACCCAGGTCAACATGACACTCGATACCGGGACAAACGGGTTGTAAGTTATCAGTGTTAAGGTTAAAGACTTTTTTTTTTTTTTTTTTGAATTGCAGTACGAATGTTAGGGAACCTTAATTCTGCCCTCACTGTTACTGCTGACGTCCTTGGAAGAATATTAGTTGCCTGGCTATCTGTTGCTTTAGTACTTCAGTACCTCAGCAGCTGCAATATTTTGTTGCTACAGGTTTCTTGAAAAGGAAAATTTTCTTGCAGAATAGTACTCTCCACAGAGAGTTATGTGGCCTGTTAGTTAAAGGACAAGTACAGCCAAAGCTCTTTTGGCTGTACTTCTCATGTGGATCACAGGAATGCAGTTTGTTCTGCACTCCTGTGACCTATTTTCAGCTGACAGTAGTCCGCTGTCGGCTGACGTCACTCAGCTGGTCCAGGCTGGGGAAAGATCCTGACTTTAAACAAGATAGCTTCTACACCCAGAAGTATTCCCCACAAAGGTGGAATGACAGTGCTCCTGCTGAAAGTGTCTTCTTGACACTGAAGCAACTTGAAAAGAGTGAAGAGCTAGCAATTCATCCTTCTGAAGAATTACTCATAGTACAGTTAGAGGAGAAATTCCTACAAGCTATAACCAGTGCTCTACTGGGCACTAATAGAAGTCACAAGACTGCTATATACTGCTGGTGAAAAAAAGGTATTTAGCAGTTTACATTTACTAAAATAATTGCACCGCCATGTTGTGTGAACTGTGGGAAACCAGATATAGTGAATTGCAGGGTCATGGGTTGAGTAACACTTTTAAAGTGGTTGTAAAGGCTCAAGGTTTTTTACCTTCATGCATTATATGCATGAAGGTTGAAAAACCTGTGTGCAGCAGCCCCCACTCAATCCAGCGATGACCACAAGAGCCTTGGTTCTCTGGGGACTCACTCCTGATTGGCTGAGGCAGCACCGGGAGCCACTGCTGTCACTCAAATTCAGTGAGCCAATCAGGAGAGGGGGGACGGGGGCAAGCAGCATCACTGTGTGTGAATGGATATGCAGAGCCACGGCTCAGGGGCGAGCCTGCTTGTGTGCCCCCAGAGCAAGGGGCCAGGAGCACCGGCGGGGACCCTAGAAGAGGAAGATCGGGGCTGCTCTGTGCAAAACCGCTACACAGAGCAGTTAATTGTAACTTTTTTTTTTTTTTTTTTTTTTTTTTTTTAACCAACACAAGACTTTAATATCACTTTATTTCTGTAAAGTTTGTTTAAATTGGAGCATGGTGAAATGGTCAAAAGATTTGTTACTGCAGCACTGAGGTCAAACAACTTTTCCTGTCATGTTCTGTATTGTTGTACCACTCTATTGCGAGAATTAATTTTTCCACCTTTTAATCTTTATCAGCATGACTATGACATGAGGGTGGATGACTTTCTGAGACGTACTCAGGCTGTTGTCAGTGGCCGAAGAAGCCGTCCTAGAGAGCGGGAACGAGAACGTGAACGAGAGAGGCCCAGGGACAACAGGAGAGACAGAGGACGTGAACGTGATAGAGACAGAGAACGAATGCGTGACAGAGATCGAGGAGACAGAGGCAGATACCGAAGATGATTTCAATGCGTTTATGTGCACATGGAATATTTGCTTTTTTCCTGGTCTCTTGTGTGTTTACAAAGTAGCAACATTTCTGTTAAAGCATTCTAATTTAAAGAGTTAATATTAGCAAGTTTTTTTGGCTTTAATCCTTTGTTTGTGCACGTACTGTATTAACTGGATTAAGCTTAATATGGCTGAGACAGTGCACATTGATATATTGGAGGGAGCCTTTTCAGAGGGAAAATTATACATACCTGTGTAAATGTTTCTGTATATTTTCTTAAAATTTCTTCTCTCCATATTCAGTGAACTGTGCATAAAAACCATAAACACTTTATTTAAAAAGTAATGAAAGATAATTGGCACATCAAGAACTACCGTTTAGTGTTTTTGTTTTATTTTCTTTTTTTTTTTTTTTTTTGTACCTTCTGCATCCCCAACTTACCTACAGTTGATTCTGTGAAAACAATGCTGCTATAAAGTATGCAATTTTTTGAAGGCTAAACTAAATGAACATAATACAAGTGGATCTGATGTTTCCCACTCATTACAAGATTATGAAAGCAATACTTTTAACCATATTGCATTTTTAATAATTTTGTTCACTTGTTTTTGATTGGTGCTCCACTTTTCATGTCTGGTTTTCAGACTCTCTAATGCGGAGTAGAGACGGTCTGTGTGTTGGTTGTATGACCATGTTGGCTTTTCTCTCATTTTGTATTAAATTTATAACTTGTAACTTAATTTGTAACTGCAGTGGTTTCTTATGCCATTTGATAGAAGCTGGCTAATCTTTCTTTTGCTGCGCTGCATCTCTTATTTTGTGTAGTCTTATACCATAATGCATTATACTGTGCCATTTTTATAATAAAACCACTGTGGAAATACTTTGGATCTTTGGTCAAGTGGGTCCCTTGAGTCCTCATCTCTATTGCTCTTCTTTCTGTACTGTTGTAGTTAACGCTGAACACCAGGCAGTTCTAATACAGCTTTGTTTTCATTAATACATCACTTAAGTATTTTATTTTATTGTTTTGTTTTTTTTTTTTAAATACAAGAAGTCAAACTATCTGAATTTGTCCTGCTTTCACCTCTGGCAATTCTATGTACAGCAGAGCAAAGATTGGGTGAGAAAAAAGAATTCCAAGGAACGGATAGACTATTTGCACAATAATAAAGCTCATTGGTCAGCTGTGTCTTTTTCACTGTCCACTGACAGGCTGTGGGAGGGGCAAGGTCTGTCAGTGCTAACTGTAGAAGAGAATAATCGGTCTCTTGCTGTGCGACACAGGGCTGTGCTTTGTGGCAAAGCTGTGTAAATCTCAGGACTGGATCAACGGTAACATCTTTTGGCAGGTAAATCCAGACCCTTTTGTATGCGTTTCATCTGTATATTTAGCTGGCTGTCTAAAGTGTAGCTTTAAACACCCTACCCAGGAGTGTATACCTTAGCTCAGTCTCTCAACCAGGGTGCCTTGAGGTTTCTTCAGGGATGCCTTGGCAAAATGTCTTTAAAAAAAAAAAAGTGTGTAAAAAGCCTGCCTTTTAGCTACACAAAGCCACAGGTTTTCATTGTGCACCATTACAACCTTCTAGCTGCCGGCAGCCTGAGAACCAATGACGTCATCAGTTGATAAGGAGGATATCCGTTGCCTGCACAGCATCCTAGTTTGACCCTCCCCTGCCCCTCTGCATCAGTGCTGGTGTCACATTAGCTCAGTGATGGAGAAAAATTGAGGGAGAAGAGAAACATTGGTGTACTAGTCAGTACCAGTGTGCAAAAGTGTGTTTTACTTTGGAAAAATAAATTGCCTCTAATGGGGTGTCCTAACGTGTGGATGTTGCTGTTTTATATAAAACTTAGAATAGTCTTTCACATGTTAGAATGGGGTGCCTCGGGACTGTCCATAATTTTAAAGGGTGCCTTGACTGAAAAGAGGTTGAGAAACACTGCATTAGCTTACCCCAAATGTGTGCACATATCCATATAGAAATTGAGATGCTAAGGTTGAGGGATCCATATTCTAAAGATATAAAAGCAAAACTAAACTCTCTCAATCAATGTTAACTTTTTTTAATCCTTATGCTGCTAGCCTTAAAGTAATTGTAAAGTATTTTTTTTTAAACTAAAACATGTTATGATTACCTGCTGTGTGCAGTGGTTTTGCACAGAGCAGCCCTGAATCCACAGAGCTCCCCAGCTTGGCCCTGCCCCCTGTCCCTCCTCACAGCAGCCCCATTTTCCTGTGAGAAGAGGAAGAGAAGACTGCAGCCATGCACCACGTTGGATGCCTGACTGTCAGGTCCATAAATATTGGGACATCAACACAATTCTAACATTTTTGGCTCTATACACCACCACAATGGATTTGAAATGAAACAAACAAGATGTGCTTTAACTGCAGACTGTCAGCTTTCATTTACATCCAAATCAGGTGAACGGTGTAGGAAGGTGTAGGAATTACAACAGTTTGCATATGTGCCTCCCACTTGTTAAGGGACCAAAACTAATGGGACAATTGGCTTCTCAGCTGTTCCATGGCCAGGTGTGTGTTATTCCCTCATTATCCCAATTACAATGAGCAGATAAAAGGTCCAGAGTTCATTTCAAGTGTGCTATTTGCATTTGGAATCTGTTGCTGTCAACTCTCAAGATGAGATCCAAAGAGCTGTCACTATCAGTGAAGCAAGCCATCATTAGGCTGAAAAAACAAAACAAACCCATCAGAGAGATATCAAAAACATTAGGCGTTGCCAAAACAACTGTTTGGAACATTCTTAAAAAGAAGGAATGCACCGGTGAGCTCAGCAACACCAAAAGACCCGGAAGACAACGGAAAACAACTGTGGTGGATGACCGAAGAATTCTTTCCCTGGTGAAGAAAACACCCTTCACAACAGTTGGCCAGATCAAGAACACTCTCCAGGAGGTAGGTGTATGTGTGTCAAAGTCAACAATCAGGAGAAGACTTCACCAGAGTGAATACAGAGGGTTCACCACAAGATGGAAACCATTGGTGAACCTCAAAAACAGGAAGGCCAGATTAGAGTTTGCCAAACGACATCTAAAAAAGCCTTCACAGTTCTGAAACAACATCCTATGGACAGATGAGACCAAGATCAACTTGTACCAGAGTGATGGGAAGAGAAGAGTATGGAGAAGGAAAGGAACTGCTCATGATCCTAAGCATACCACCATCAGTGAAGCATGGTGGTAGGTAGTGTCATGGCGTGGGCATGTATGGCTGCCATTGGAACTGGTTCTCTTGTATTTATTGATGATGTGACTGCTGACAAAAGCAGCAGGATGAATTCTGAAGTGTTTCGGGCAATATTATCTGCTCATATTCAGCCAAATGCTTCAGAACTCATTGGATGCCGCTTCACAGTGCAGATAGACAATGACCCAAAGCATACTTGCAAAAGCAACCAAAGAGTTTAAGGGAAAGAAGTGGAATGTTATGCAATGGCCAAGTCAATCACCTGACCTGAATCCGATTGAGCATGCATTTCACTTGCTGAAGGGAAAATGCCCCAAGAACAAGCAGGAACTGAAGACAGTTGCAGTAGAGGCCTGGCAGAGCATCACCAGGGATGAAACCCAGCGTCTGGTGATGTCTATGCATTCCAGACTTCAGGCTGTAATTGACTGCAAAGGATTTGCAACCAAGTATTAAAAAGTGAAAGTTTTATTTATGATATTCTGTCCCATTACTTTTGGTCCCTTAACAAGTGGGAGGCACATATGCAAACTTTTGTAATTCCTACACCGTTCAGCTGATTTGGATGTAAATACCCTCAAATTAAAGCTGACAGTCTGCAGTTAAAGCACATCTTGTTAGCTTCATTTCAAATCCATTGTGGTGGTGTATAGAGCCAAAAATGTTAGGTTCATCACTGTCCCAATATTTATGAACCTAAGTGTTTTAGAGAGGGGTGAAGGGAGGGGAATAGTGTGTTAGGGGGAAAAAAAACACTCAGCCTTGAGAACCACTTAAATAGGAAGGTGTATTTACTCGTTTAAAGCTTATTACATTTCTTCGGTTGCTTCCTCTTTTCTGGCTTAGGCCAAAATGAACAAAATACAGGTAGCTGGCAACTTGGAAACCTTCCTAATGGAAATCTTTATTGGTTACATAAATACTGGTTCCATAAATCAGACGCATTTCGGCTTCACAAAGCCTTATAGCATACAAAATATCACTAAACACTCAACATATATAATATAGAAAAAATAGTACCCATAAAGGTCTATGGGAGTGTCTCAATTAAAAGCAGTTAATATAATTACTGACATGTGGAGAGGGAAAAAAAAAAAAAAAGCAGACCTACAAGTTATAAACCTGAAATACAATAATTATACACAGATTGCATTATACAGGTGGAGCTAAGTGAATTCTTTTAAGAAAAGATTCATATTCGTTCTGCTATTTAATTTGTGTGCAGACCTAGTCTAGGCCAAAATTAAGTCGTACATCCCAGGAGACTTTCATGGGTTTTTCTTTTTTGCTTTCATCTGGATGAGGGGCTTTCTCAGCTAAGCACAGATGGATTCCAAGAAGTAAGTGCTACATGAATCATCTGCCCTTGCTTCACTGCTTAAGTACCACCCTATAGCAGATATACTGCTACAGGGCGGCACCTGTGTGCAGAATTTAGTGTGTGTGTGTGTGTGTGTGTGTGTGTGTGTGTGTGTATATATATATATATATATACACACACACACAGTTGTGTTCAAAAATAATAGACATCACTAACCTGATCAATCACTGTTTTTGGTAGAAATGATATTTCTACATGGCAAATAATTTACTAGCAGGTAGAAAGAAATCCAACAGTCATGACATGCATGCTGCTGATTCTGTGTAATTGAATCACTAATTGAAAGGGGCATGTTCAAAATAATAGCAGTGTGGAGTTCTATTAGTGAGGTCATTCATTCTTTGAAAAACAGATGGCAATTATTGCCCTTATTTAAGGAAGGAAGGCAGCAAATGTTGTACATGCTGGTTACA